ATGTATGTATGTATGTATGTATGTATGTATGTATGTATGTATGTATATAAAAATACATAATACGGCTGGATAGCGGAGCGGTTTGAGCACCACCTTTGACACAGGAGACTGGGGTTCAGATCCTGGCTGGTACCTACCCTACCAGTAGGGGTCCTTGGGCAAAGACCCCCTGATGTTTCACCTGCCTACCTTAAATATGAGAGTGACACGAACTAAGAGAGTCATGCCAGCTCAGATGGCACCTGGATTAACAAGGTCCATGTCAGATGTTGGGGAACCATGACAATCTGAGGATAAGTGGGCTACTGGAACAAACCATACATGGACAAGACAAGAGAACTTGGAATTGATGGAATGCTACTACAACAGTAGACCTAATGAGAGGGGATATATGAAATGGGAACTATGGATGGACAGAAGACCTACATCCACACTAACTGAGAAACAACTAGTTACCCAGCGCTTCAACATAGTGAATAGGAAGCTGCTCTCACAACTTGAGATAGACCAACTCCACATAACGACTCAGACTCAAGCAGACTTGGAAGAACAACTGGATGGGCAGCCAACACCTGAAGCTGGAACATCACTGCCATCTTCTCCATTACAGAGCACAGCAGCTGATATGAGGCATAAGATCATGGATAAACTAGCTACAGCCAACCCTCGAGACCGATTACCAATGCTCAGTGGAGAAGTACCATCAGATAGTATGCCAGAAGATGCCAACAGAGACCTCCAGACAATACCTCCTCCCACCATAACTGAAACCAATGAATTGGTATACGCTACAGCCGCTGTAATCCTGGAAATGCTTGGCTACACGATCAAAAAGAACAGCAGTATGTACCCACCCTGGAAAATGAGACTGGAGGCTAAAATCAAGGCAACTCGCAGAGACGTCAGTCAGGTGGTGGAACTACAGAAGGGTGTGGAGGTTAAGGATAAGGCTTGGTTACTGAAAAAATATATGGGCCTGACTCCATCTGAAGCCCTAGAAACTGCTAAACAAAG